TTCTCCTCGCACTTTTAAGTTCTTCCAGGTCTTTGGTGGTGCCATTCCCATAGCTTCGAGGATGTCCAATGAAAGATTATTGTGACAAGTCTCGAGAATGAAGTCTTCGCTGACCGGATCCCTGCAGTTCATTGCTTTGTTTCGGAATCTCTTCACGAAGTTTTCGACCGTCTCACCATTTTTCTGTTTCTCGTCAAATAGTGTGCCGATTGAAATCTCGGTGTCGTCGTCGAAGAAGTTTGTCAGAAACATGTCCTCCATGTCATCCCAACTGCTGATACTCCCCGGCTTGAGGCGGCGATACCAATCGAAGGCTGCTCTGCGAAGAGTGCCCACGAATGACCGCACCATTAAGGGTTCATTCTCGGAGATTATTCCTAAATGGGACTTAAAATATATCAAATGTTGGGTCGGGGAGCCCTTCCCATCAAACGGCGTAAAATTGATCAAGTTGAATTTCGCCGGGTATGGAATTGATTCCCATTCCCTTGGATATGGACATGGTATCCCAGACCTTTTCACTTCTTGGGCACTCATCAATGCGTTAATCTTGCTTTCCAAGTCCCTCATTTTCTTATCCTCACTCGTATCCGTTTTCGAGTGATTTCGGGGAGAAGTAACGTGATCCTCCTTTGTGTTGTTATCATCCGAAGGGCCACCCCCATTATTGTTGTTGACGGGAGGGGTATTCATGTTGACATTATCCTCCTCCCGCTCGTTATCATCTTGATTCGGATTGTTGCGACGACTAGACTCCCCTTGGTGAGTTGTTAGTGCCGCGATTTGCTGGTCATGCATTTCTCTCATCTGTTGCATGGCCATCTCCATCTCGAACTTGAAATTTTCCTTCTGCTTAGTCAGAGCGTCCTCGAGCAACTTAGCCACCTGTTCGGCGCTAATCATGAGTGACTCGTAGGGCTGTCCTGCACTTGAAGCGGTGTCATCGGAGGCCATCGCTGAGCAAGCATCCGAGCCGGCATCCGAGCAAACCTCTGAAGTTTCATCTTCTGAAGGAAGTCCCTTCTGTATTCTTTGGTAGTTCATTCACCTACTGGTCCCTGTTCGCAATCGAGTCATACGTTGGGATACTGCGGCAAACTGATCCGGACTAAAATGTCGCGTTGACTTTCCTCTCCCGGTCATGTTAACAGATACTTTTGGAAATTCATCATCATGGAGAGCAGCTCTCTTCCTTCGGAAATGTCTTGGTCTGGGTTCGGACGTTTTGGTAGAGATTCTTTCAAACACTGAAACTCTCTCCGGGGTGGTCTTGGAACAGCAACATTCTGACAACACTGCCTTGATGATTTTGGCACATGGGCAGTGAGAACCTGTGTCCCGGGCACTCATTTTCCTGGATTTGTTCGCACCCCCAGCTTGATAGTACAACTCGTCAGTTTGATGACTGGAGCAACCTATCGTGTGTTGGCACGACTTACCAGGTATAACGTCTTCGTCTGACGAGTACGTTTTCTTCTGGGGATACAACGCTTTGTTAGCATTTTTAGGAGTCGCATGTCTGAGGTGACGTTTTTGTGAATGCCGGCCCTCAACAGGCTCCTGGATTTCAACACGCAGTCTGATGCGGTCATTTGCGGGACTTTTCCCGTTATACATTCTCTTCCACTGCTTAGGATGACGACCTCCAGCCTGACAATGTGCTCGAGATTCATTCAATCGACCTAAGCGCTCTTTGACCGGAGCTTTGCCTCGATCATCGGGTGAAGGGCCAATGCGATCTTTGATGGTCATCTTAAAATGGGACAAATCCACACTATCACAAATCTCAACCGGAGGTGTGGAACTCGAAGGAATCGAAGAAATAGGTGCAGGACATCTTCTGCCTTGAATCTGTTGCGGGTCAGACTTGGGTGACCCGCAAGTTGGAAGGTCGGATTTGGACGACCCGCAGACTGGAAGGTCGGATTGGAGTGACCTGCGTTTTGGCGGGTCGGATTGAAGTGACCCGCGTTTTGGCGGGTCGGATTGAAGTGACCCGCGTTTTGGCGGGTCAGATTGGAGTGACCTGCGTTTTGGCGGGTCGGATTGGAATGACCCGCGTTTTGGCGGGTCGGATTGAAGTGACCCGCGTTTTGGCGGGTCAGATTGGAGTGACCCGCGTTTTTCGACCTTTTTGGCCGCCGTCTTAGACTTTGGCCTCCATACTTGGTGCAGTCTTTGTGGCTTATGTTCCACTCCTTCTTTCTCTAATCTCTTGGCCTCTTGCACAAGAATTTTTGCTTGTGCAAGCAATGCGCGGCGTTTGTGAATCCGCTCTTGAAGAGTCGATCGGGTCCTTTTGATGCGAACCCATTCGTTCTTCGCTGGTTTGAAAAGGGAGGGGCTGTGCATTCTCTGTTGTGATGGTTGGCGCCTCCTATATTTCAGATCCGCCTCATAGCGGATTCCATCCACTGGTTCCAAAGCTTTGGCCAGTTGGCGTGCGAGGCTTTGGCGTCGCCTCTGACGTGCTCTCTTTGATAGAGTGGGCACATCCTCAACAGTCGACCCTTTGCTTAAGGGGTTCAGATCTGTAGTTTTAGCCTCGTCGAATGTCGACGGGGCGTTGTGAGCCACGGGTGCAGCGGTGGCGGGAAGATCCTCTTCTTGGGCTTCTGCAACTGAAGTCCAACGGGTCTTTCTGGAGTAGGCCTTCCTGCATCTGTGAGGAGAGGCCAATCTGGAGGAGGAGGACAAGTATTCCTCGTACTTCTGCTAGTCGAACTCATATTCGACCTCCGTTTCAACCGGGATCGGGATCCGAGGTTGCGACACGTCAACCTTCGCAGAAAGGCTGTCGGCTCCCACTGTGGTCGCCAGTTTGTTTCCGTCGAAAGTTACCTTAGTCATTGATTTCATTAAACTTTAAACGTTACAAATGAATTCAAATGACAAAAGAATAAAAGATTACAACTTTCTTGAAAATAAACACAAGATCCGTTTATCGGCTCTTGCTTGCGTGGGTTCTTTGCCGGTGCCGGGGTTAATCCGTGGACGACCGCGAATCAGATCCGGTTGATGGAAAATTAGGCAGAGCTTCTACCTCACCAAGGGGGTATTTGCTTGAAGTCCTGAAATCGACAAAGCAAAATCAGGGCTCTTCTCGAGATTAAGACAAAGCCTAATCTCAAGGAACGGACGTACGGGCTTCAGATCCTTCGAACGGCTTCTCCTTTGCTCCGAAGTTCACCGGGATCTCGTTGACCTTTGCTGAAATTTCGAGCTCCTTCACTCTTCAATCCGGCAGCACCTCGTCCTATTGATAAAATTCCAGATCTCGAAAATGGAGGCCTTTGGCTCATATTTATAGGCCTAGAATGCGGTTATTTGGATGAGAACAAGGGATTTGGCTCTATCTTCAGTCAATAACAGCCTAACCACGTTTGGGGATGATCTCAAGTCAGTTAAGAACCTCTGGAACCGATAAAACCTGTAAAAACTAATTTAAAACTATCAAAACGTGTTTTGAGACCTTACTGCGCGGAAGGACGATCCGACCTGCGCTCGCGCGGGTCGGAATCATCCGACCCGCGCATGCGCTGGTCGGATTTATCCGACCCGCGCTTGCGCGGGTCGGATTGGTCCGTCCCGCGCTTGCGCGGGTCGGATCACTCCGTCCTGCGCTCAGCGCGGATTCGCCGACTTTTTTCTCTTTTTTTGGTTTCTTTCTTCCGGGACTTGTTCTTGTCGCGTATTCGATAGATTTGTTGATTTGTATGCTCCGTCGCAAGACCAATCGTTGAAAGCGCGTTGGTTAATGTACGCGTGCTGATTGACGTGCGCGCGTTGACCGGCGCGCACGAGGTGGTTTGACGTGTGCGCGTTGACTGGCGCGCACGAGGTGATTGACGTGCGTGCGTTGACCGGCGCACGAGTTTGTTGATGTGTGCTCGTTGACCAGCGCACACGAGTTGGTTGACGTGCACGCGTTGACCGGCGCGCACGAGTCGGTTGACGAGAACACGTTGACCGACACACACGAGATGATTTGACGTACGCGCGTTGACCGACGCACACGAGATGATTTGACGTACGCGTGTTGACCGACGCGCACGGGCTGAATGGCGTGAGTGCGCCGAGCGACGTGTGCAAGCTGATTAGGTGAATCTCTTTGACTCACCCATTCATTGCTTCGGATTTCGTGCGGGCTCTCGTAGACAATTTTAGACGCCTACAGTGTGCAACTGTCTTGACGAGCGACAACCGGATTTACCCTAGAGCCTTCCTATCCAGTATCTCTTAATCCTCGTCTGACTCTTCTTTCTTCTTTCTCTTAGCATTGCCCATCAACGGGCGATACAAGTCCTTCTGGTACAGATAGTCCTCCATCTGTAACTTTCAATAGGCGAAGTCTGAACCTTCAAACTTCTCCATCTTAGATTTGCTTTCCTCTACCATGGCTCTCTCACAATCCTTCTGAACGAAGCTCTGATACCAGTTGTTAGGGATTCGAAACAATCAAATCGTTTGTTTGAGAGTAGGAAAGTAGAAAAAATCATAGCAAATAAAAGATAAAAACTTACAGGAAAGTAAACAAGAAAGAACACACCAGATTTAATGAGGTTCGGCAATCGTGCCTACGTTCTCGGGAGCCACACCACATAATTTCTTTGATTAATATTGAAGAAGATTATAATACCAACAAATAGGATCTAATCTCTTTAAGATCTCTCTGAAGAATTCTCTTAAAAACTCTCTTTTTCTGATGTCTAATCTCTTCTAAGACGTTCCATATATATAGAAAACCTAAAACCAAAGCAGACTAGGAATTCTAAAACCAAAATACAAAACAGATTAGGAATTCTAATAACATGTTACCAAAACAGATTAAGAATCATGTTATCAAAACAGATTAAGAATCATGTTACCAAAACAGATTAGGAAACCTGCTATCCAACAATTTATTTGATTCCAGCTTTAAGTCTACATCCCTTAGACTAACAAAATGTTCTAATAAAAATCAAATATTTCATTCAAAGATGAAGCAAGAAGTCGCATACCAGAACAGAAACACGGATTGCATCTGCATTAGAAACATCACCAGACAACTCTGGATCCTCGGTATTGCTTTCTATAACATAAAACATGAGAATACAATATAAATATTAAATACTACATAACAAAAGTAAATGCAAAAGAAAATGGATGCAATAAGATTACCATCCTAAATATTGTATGTGATCTACTGCTCCGAGAATTCATATTTGTTTCTCCAAAGTGTGGATTAGCTACAAAAAAGGATAATATTTTGCTTTTTCTCCTCCTTAATTATAATAAGGACACAGAAAACAACTTCCATAGTAGATTTGATAACTCAATTCTATAACTTCACCAAGTTTGATCAGTTCAAGTACTTGCTCAGCACTATTCACAATCTCCTCACAAAGGCCCACAACAAAAATGCATCTCTACAAACAAATATAATGGGAAAATTCCATAAATGTATTGTGATCGTATAACATCGGTAGGTTTACTTATACCTTACATCTAAGCTCTCATGGATAGGAAGCTTCTGGTTCCGCAGCATAAGCAGATCATTTCTCTTCATTGTAGATCTCCATGTAGGACATCTAATTATAAACTCACGGTCCATATTCTGTTAACATATTCAAATTTTCAATAATAAGAATATACACATACAATATAGAACCTTCGATTTGTAACAAAAAGACGGGGTATATGAATAAATATATTTGAATACCATCTGAGTAGAGTGAAAAATTCCTTTCACGGCACAATGGATGATACCAGGATCATCTTCTGAACCATTCACGGTGAAGGTTTTGCCCTGCTTGTCTGCCCATAAGCAAATGCAGTTCTTCAATACAAAATGGTAAAGGCAAAACCTGAGTTAGTTAATAATGCGACTAAGATTTATCCTATAATTTACCTACTCTCCAGTCAACAATTCCAAGATTCTCATAAAAATTCAGTATTTTTGATAAAAATCGAATTTTTAGCCGAAACCAGTGGTGGAGCCACATCTAATGGTGTCACACGACACCACTGGATTGTCCGCTTTACACATGTTTTTATTTATTTTTACCTGTACCTACTACTTAGCACACCACTGGAATTATTAGGGCACGACACCACTGAAAGGGGATGAAGTTATAAATTATCAATGTAAGATCCAAACGCGACTATGATAAATTACATTGGGACACAACTGGAACCAAATTCCGGCTCCACCACCGGCTGAAACTTGTTGAGCTTTAGATCATTTCAGATCGAAATCTCTATTCAGCTCGCCGATCGAGAGCCTAGGCTAAAATGACACAAAGATTCCTCAACTCTTGAAAAGGTAAGAGAGGGTTGGTTCTTAGTACCATTGAATCCATCAACAGCAGCCTGGATGATGGGTTTCGTGAGTCGATGACAGACCGTCGTATCCCTCGTCGTTTGATCGAATACATGATCTACATACAAGAGAGGGTGACATAAGTAAAGTGGAGTTAGGGTTTTGGCGAAAGAGAAGTTGGTGAGATTGAAGTATTGAAGTACCAAAGGCGAAGGAGACACCCGAGATCGGAGTGCTGAAGGATCTGTGGAAAGAGATCCTGTTGTCCTCGATCCTCGGCGGTTTCTTGGCCGATCGATGGTCGGAATCGCATAGCTACTGAGATCTTTTCCATTTTATTTGATTTTCTTTTTTCCCCCTTTCCCTGAAGAGCGGAGAGAGGTTCTCTTGATTTGAATTTGATTGGCGGGAGGTCAAGCTACCGGAGGTGAGCGTTCCTCTTCGCTAGTGATACAGAATTTCATGGGCCGTCAGTAATGGGCTTCAATTACAGGTCTAGCAAGCGCTGATGATTTGTGGGCCGTTAAACAAGACGAATATAAGTGACAGGAAAACCGAAGATACTAAAGCTAAAATGAGTCATGAGTCATGACACTTAAAAGATCTAGGGTATCAAAGTGTAAACCAGAAAAAAAAACTTTTGACATATCAAAGGTGAAGAAGGTGTAACATTTAGGGTACATAAGTGTGAAACCCGTATTAGGATGGCTGTGCTTGTAGCTTCAACTTTTCTAGCTAGTAGATAATAAAGAAAGTTTTTTTGTATCCTTCTTTTCATTAACATGCAATAGTGAAAAATCTTCTATTGAGGATTTGCAGCTTATGAAATGCAAGAAACTTCTATGAAAATAAATCATAAAACTTTATGTAGTCTAAATTTGCTTGAATAAAAGTGTAAGCGGAGAAAATAAACATCTTTTGGGCCATGATAGGGGGGGAGATCACCGTTTCATTCTGGGTTGACGGGGGTCGTACCATTCGAGCTTTTTTTTTCATGCTTTTCCTAGAGAGCTCATATCCAAAGCGAGTTTTTAAGAAACTGCTAGAGTTTTAGCAAAAGCTGCCCTACGAGGTCGTATTGATTGGTTGAAGGGTTTGAATAAAAATGTTGTTCTACGAGGATTTACCCCTGTCGGTATTGGATATTCAAGAAATTAGTGCACCGTTCAAGACAACCTAAAGCTAATGGGTCTTAAACAGATTGTAGGAACCAGTTTTAACCAAAAATACTGCTAGGTACTGACTCTAACTCCTATTTAAATTTATTATTATTTTTTATCCTATCCGATGTAAGTATAAAAGATTATACTGACACGTAAATATTCCAACAGATCAAGCATTGTGTATTGATATCCATCACCGTCTGAAGGCTACATACCGAGTTGATGCTTTTACAACTGAACCACGATTTTATAACACGTAAGATAAAATACTATTTAACTATCATAGCCATATAGAATATGATAAATTACAGAAAATTTCCCTTAAATTTGCATGATCGATAGATAATCGATTTTGAGGTTTTAGAAGTGATACTTCATCTCATTTCTTTTAATTTTTACAAAATTAGTTGGACATAAAATCTACTATCATAGTATTATAATAGTTATATGCCCTCACGTGTAAACATACGTGATTATTATATAGAAAATTGATGATTACATCCAACTAATGTTGATTGTTTAACTAGAAATTGAAAACGATGGGATGAAATGTCACCTTTAAATATTAGAGGGGTTTTCTCTGAATCATGCAAACTTTACGAAGTTTTCTATAATTTACCCTGAAAAACATGAATGCGTTAGGCTTTAAACCTAGTATGTACATTGGGACGGGAGGGGATATTTGTCCCTAGTGGCAAATATGACTGAATTAGGCATCTTTCCTCCCAAGTTTAGTTATTTGCCAATTAAATGAGGGGTCCGGTAAGGAAGAAGTTTCAAAATTCAGAGAGTTTTATTAGACACCCCCAAAGTTCAGGGATGTTAATGAGATTAAAAAAAGTTAAGAGGATTCTATAACCCCCAAAGTTTAATGTAGTTTTCTTGTGTTAAAATTGTTCACAAGGGTTATCTTCAACACCATCCAAAGTTCAGAGGGGGTTTTAAAAATTTACCCTACGTATTATGTTGCACTTAACTCTTTAATCCATAGCCATAGGACGATAAAGGTTCAAGTTATTGCAAGTCTATCATGCACAGGGGACATGTCGATCCTTTCACCCAAAGCTCTCATTTTCTATTTTAAAACCTAATCATTCAAATAAAGATTTATGTCCAAATTAGGGCACTAGATATAAAATGTCAAATGTCAAGCCACTCTAGTAAATTGTATTATATTCTATTATTTATTGTTATAAGATTTAAGGCTTATTTGGCATGAGGTTTAAAAAACGGGGTTCAATTTTAACATGGTAATTATTATTCTAAAAAATTAGTAGTATATTTGGTATAATCATTTAACAAGGATAAAATTTAACCGCGGATAGATTTCTTCCATTCTCAACGCAAAAACTTGATAATTTAGGACAATTTTTTTGAAAACACACATTTTTTAAATTTATATAGCAAAATCGACCCTTTTTGAAAAAAAAAATCAGCAAAACCGACCATTTTCAAATAAAAATGGTAGGTTTTGCTGCGGAAGAGTTATTTGAACCGCACAGGACTAGCACTCCCGTGCATTTCGTTTTTCGAACCGCACGGGACTAGCAGTCCCGTGCATTTCGTTTTCTTTTCGAACTGCACTCAGCATATAGTTTTGAAATGCACGGGACTGCTAGTCTCATGCAGTTCGAAAAGAAAACGAAATGCACGGGACTGCTAGTCCCGTGCAGTTCGAAAAACACTTCCTCAACAAACCGACCCTTTTTCATATGAAAATGGTCGGTTTTGCTAATTTTTTCAGAAATGATCGATTTTACTATATAAATTTAAAAATTAGGTGTTTTCAAAAATTTGTCCTTTACAAAAGCATCTTCAAAACTTATAACATACAACTAGCACTAAAAAATATCAAACCTTATAAATGACCCAAACTTTTGGGTTTTCAAAAAACATAGTGGAACTTCAAAATTTATAAAAAATATCTTTAAAAATTCAAAACTTACAAAAAATTCCTAAAAATTTTAAACCTAAAACTAAATGCTAAAAATCTACAATTATAAACAGCCCCATATATTTTTAGAATTTGTAGAAAACACCCTTAAACTTTCAAAGTTATAATAAACACCCACCAAAATTCAAAATTTATAAGAAACTCTATGAATATTTCAAATCTACAAACAGTACATTGAAAATCTTAGAATTACAAATAGCCCCTTAAATTTTTATGATTTATAAAAAACACCCTCAAACTTCCAAAAACAACTAAAAGCACACTCAAATTTTTAAAATTTACCAAGAATTTAAAACTTCTAACAAAAAACAAGGCACTAAAAATCTAGGAATTATAATAACACCCTGAAAATTTATAATTTGTAAAAACACCCTGACACTATTAAAAGTTGTAAAAATACCCTAAAATGTTAATTTTACTAGAAAATTTCTAAAAGTTTCAAACTACAAATGGCAAATTGAAAATGTAGTAATTATAAATAGCCACGTAAAAATTTGAAATGGTAGAAAACACTCCGAAGGCTTCAAAATGTTACAAAAAACACCCTTAAAATTAAATTTTACAAAAAAAATCCCTGAGAATTTCAAACTTACATTAAGGACACTAAAAACCTAAGAATTACAAATAGGCCAATAATTTTTTTTGAATTTGTAGAAAAAACCCTTAAGTTTAACAAATTGCAAAGAACAACTTGAATATTTGAAATGACAAGGAAAGCATTTCTTTGTAATTTTTTTATCTTTTCAGGGTGTTTTTATAAATTTTAATTTTAGGGTGTATTTTACAATTTTAAAATGTTCCATGGTCTTTTTGCAAATTCTAAAAATTTTAGCGGCATTGTGGTTACTAGATTTTCAATTTACTGTTTGTAGGTTTGAACTTCTCAGTGTTTCTAGTAAAATTTGCATTTTATGGTTTTTTTGCAACTTTTAAAAGTTTTAGGTTGTTTTTACAAATTTTAAAATTTTCAAGGGTTTGTTTGTAATTATTGGATTTTTCAATGTCCTATTTTTCATTTGAAGTTTTTTTTTAAATTTTGAAATTTAAAGGTGTTTTTGTATTTTTAAAAGCTTTAGGGTATTTTTTGCAAATTCTAAAAAATGTAGGGGGTTTGCAGTTCATTGTTTGGAGGTTTGAAATATTTACTATGTTTCTTATAAATTTTAAAATTTTGACGGGTGTATATCGCAACATTTGAATGCTTAAAAGGTTTTTTTAAATTCTAAACTTCTCGGGGGCTTATGTTTGATAGATTTTCAGTATTCTATTTTAGTTTGGAAATTTTAGGCTTTTTGTAAGTTTTCAGTTATTATGGGTATTTTTAAAAGTTTTAGGTAAAACTTTTAATTAAATAAAAAAGGCCTGTTTGAATTTCATCTAGAGTTTCACCTTATTGTTTTATGTTTAAAGTTTTCATATTTTTATAAAAATTTTGAATTATGAGTGTGTTTTTTTTTCAATGTTTAAAGCTTTAGGGTGATTTTGCCAATTCTAAAATTTTCAAAAGGTTGTTTTATAATTACTATAAATTTTCATGGTACTATTTTATATTTTAAAATTTCAATTTGTATTTTGTAAAATTTGATTTTTGAGGGTATTTTATCTAATTTTTATAATTTCAGGGTGTTTCCTACAAAGTTGAAATCTATTAGGGAACACTAGTACGAATTGAAATTTTTAGTGTTATTTGTAAGTTTTAAATTTTTAGGGTGTTGCTACAATTTTTTGAACTTTTGAGGGTATTCTTTGTAGTTTTGAATTTGTTCGGGTGTTGTGTGTAATTTTCAATTGTTAGGGGGATATTTGCATTTTTAGATTTTAGGGGCCTTTTAGTAAGTTTTGAAACTTTTTTGGTGTTGTCTATAATTCACATGTTAAAAGAACAAATCCTAAAGTTTTCACCGCTTTATATCTTACCTTCACTTAGTTAAAGTTTATCCTCATATGTAATTAAACAATAATCTTGGTGAAATTTTAACATGATAACAAATAGGCTTAAAAGCACTTTTGGTCTCTGTACTTGGGCTCCATACTCAAATTGGTCCTGTACTTATTTTTTTTCTCAATTTAGTCCTTGTACCCTCTAATTAGATGTAAACTTAGTCCTATTTTAACTCTCCGTTAAAAACTCCATTAAATGTGAATTGAAAGGACGACACTACCCTCACAAAATTAAAATATCCCCATTGTAATTACTTGTGTGCATATACTTCTAAAAATGGTTAACTCCTAGAGATGTTAGTTGATTGTCGAAATCTGCACTGCTTGCAAAACTTTTAC